TGAGCTCAGTAGAATTTTGAAAACATGAAAAAATTATAAGAACACTTGATAAATAATATAAATATTATATATTCTCTGCTCGCCAATGAGTTATGGACCGGAAGCCTGTGGATTTTATGGACAGTAAGCTAGCTAAACATTAGATTGGCAACAAATTATTAGGTTGATGCATAATTACTGCAGTTTTTTTCAGCAAATTTTACTTGAAGAAACGATAGAAATATTAAGCAAAGCATGTTCAAATAATTACTCTGGAAGTTAACCACCATCTACGTCAAGCACTGCATCCCATTTGCTAGGCAGTCGGATTCCACAGGCGATGAAGTTTCTATTCTTGGAGGCGATCCACGCCTTGACATCGGCCACCAAGCCATCCATTCCGTCGAAAAATCTGTTCGTTAGCCAATCTTTCTACGGACGATTAACACGATAGTCCATAGTAATTTCTGTGGTGAACAGGGCGGCCGTAGAAGCAGATTCCATTTTTTTAATCGGCGTCGGCTGACTGTTCCATCGCCGAGAAGTTCGTTGAAATCACTTTATGACTGTACCACCTACCAATCTTTCTCGAAGTAAAAGAGTATAATTGAGCGTATATGAAGATGACTTTTTAGGCATATTTCTGTTGTGGAATTGAAGAAGATTATTTCTATCGAAAACCAAGTTCAATACTCAAGTGTATCAAGAGAAAAGAAGCCGCGAAATAAAACACAATAATTATGCATCAACTTAATAGGTACCTGTTTATCTATGCACATCAAACTTACTTTGAAGGGTGACTACTTTTTTTGAGTGATCCATATTTGAGGACCGGAAACCCGCGTATTTTATGGACAATGTAAAGCTGAACAGGCATTTCGTTTTTTATGTAAAAAAGAAGGTCATTATATTTACCTTGGATTAACTGCTAGTTCCAACCTAATAAAAGAAAGTACAAGACCAGTAAGTGTATATAACACGCATACGTTTGAATTCACTCTTAACTTATGGGTTTTTTTTTTATAATAACGACGTTAAATTTGATCGAAAGCTCTACGGTATCAGGTTAATAATAAGTGGATAAGATTACCAACTAGACTATATCTTTCAAGAAATCTATTAATAAGTTGATTTGATATAGTTAAGTTTTAGTTTAGAAATGGTCAATATTGTCACCTTTCATTTCACATGCTTATACATTGCATGTCCGTAAATAAATAGATAAATAAATAAATATCTAGCAAACGAAGCCACCATTAAATGTTTTCATGCTTAACAAAAGAGGTAATTCAGCGAGCCCCAGATTTCTACAGTAATTTAGGCGTAACACAATTGATGAAACGCAACTACCATGAAACCGCGCAAATTATGTTTATTTCCTAAGAATTATGACTTTTTTCAAGCATCTCAAAAGGGGCTTGGTTAAATTTGGGTTGGTGGAGATTCACATGAGCAAATTACTACAAGGTAACGCTTATAACACACTTTTAGCAGTATATCTACTCAAGAGGAATATTAGAGGTAAAGTTAGATAATGTGAAATTACAAAACCTGGGAGGCAATAAAACAAAGTAAGGAAATTGAAAAAAGAAAAAAAACCGTCAACTTTAGAACACCAAGAAACACTTCTTATAAGAGAAATAGCGTAGTGCTGACTGACAGTTAATAAATATTTGCAAAAAAATGAAATTATTATAAAGACTATAGCCATGGACTCACACCTGACAATATATTGAAGACTTTCGACTTCCACAGATCCCATAAAGATTTGAGCACGTCTATATCAAGATTATCGACGGCAGCTAATGTATCAGCAACAAATCTATCGACCTAAATGTCGCCCTCAGGTTACACTACTCATCAAAATGAGCGAATAAGTAAAATACACAAAATTGAAGAAACTATGGAAGACTGTTCAAGACACAAAAGACTTAAATTTGAATCTAAAAGTTTGAATCTCAAAAAATGAAAAAGAATACATGAAATCTTTGTAGCCAACCTGTAGTTTCAAATCCTTTCCGGATCTTGAATCTTGATCAAATGCTTTGAGCGCATTGTACAGACCACGTAGAAGTAAATGTTCTCGTACTAAAGAGTCGGTAATGGTACATACTCCATTCATAGCAATCCACGCAGCAATGCATTAAAATGTACGGAACATGGAAGCAGCACGTGGCCCTAAAAACAAAAAATCCTTACTATTTTCTTCTAGATCCAAAAATAATTAACTGCAAGGGACTCTAGAATAAAGCCAACATTGTTTTACTACACTAAAAACATTAATAAATGCTAGAAATAAACACAGACAAGCAAACCCCAGTTGGCCACGAAATTACTGGAAGAGGCAAGCGTTGCGGGACCACATGGCGCGTAACAGTTTCAGCCTTCTTGCTGCAAAGCGGAATGCGGGATTGGGAGGTCCTGCCGCGCCCCAGTTAGGTTGATTCAGAGGCTTTATTTTTATTAAAATGGAAATAGGTATGAAAACTGTTTAGATGGAAAGAAAGAAAATGTGTACCCCCTGACATCCCTTTTAAGACCCGAGAAAGACCCCTACTCATTCTGTTGTATGTACATACAATCAATCACTGGTCCTCACTTTGACAGATTCTGTTTGATCACATAGGGCTTCATTTTGAAAACGAATGGAAGGAGAGATCCCGGCGGCAGGGGGCATTTTCAAGGTGCCACATTTGACCGAACATGGCCCTGTAGGTAACCTGTTTATAAGTTCAGCCAAACGAAGATCCAAAGGACCCTAACTTTTCTCGATTATGTCCTTTTTCAAAGAAAATGAGAGTTTTTGGAAGTTCAAGGTATTCATTTAGTGTTGGCTGTTCAGATAACAAAACCGCTCTGCACAGGAATGATTGCATCCACTGTGATGCACGAAAGTTCAATTCCTCTACCCCTGTCACACAGGAATGTAATTTATTACTATTGGCGGTAGGAATTTGCGTTGCATACCAACCTGGCTAATAAAGTTTTTTTTTTTTTTTTGACGTCAGTTATGGGAGGGGTGGTAGGGGACCTTGTTAAAACAGAGACAGGTGTTGTTGATGAAGAATAAAACATGGGTCAGATAGAGGGGGCGTTGGCATCAGCCCTCTGCGTTGGACCTCCAACTCGGAGTCCAAAGGCAAAGTATTCTGCACGCTTCATCTCTGAATCCTAAGCTTGACGTCATCAAAAGTGGTCATTCTTATCTGGCGGAAAGGGGTATTCATTGTTATTATCTACGGTAGCATTCTGTAATCGGCATTTCAGCGTCTTATCTTTATTGGATGCATCCTACATGTGATGGGTGGTTAGGACACCGTTTTTGTGACACGGGTGTATCTGGTTATACTGTAGATAAGCCTATAATGATGATATAGCGGGATGAGAGTACTTTTGTAGGTAGTTACAGTCGGTAATAAAGTAAAAGATTAGGATAAAGTTTTTTTTTTTTGACGTTAAGCAATCCCATTTGAGGGATACGCCCCCGTCTCGGTTTTCATTCAGAATCGTAGTGACGAGATGAGTGCGTATGTGGCCTATACAATGACTTGCGGTGGCCAGGCGAGCTCAGGAGTTCTTAGAGAGGGGTGAGGGTAACGCTGTACTTATTCTACTTTGGAATTCGAGAGCATTCGTAATGGTTTGCAGAAATTGTTTGTGGCAGTAATCGACAAAACTTATGAGTTGACAAACAAGACAGATGTCATCAATCACGCAACGAGGCGTCGCACAAGTCGACCTTTAATATATAATCCTTCTGCTAGCTTCAGCCGGATCCAGTGTAAAAATTCAAAAAAAAAATTAACTACAACAAACATCAGGAGCGTTATTTATTCAATTGAAACATAAAGCCACTTCAACTATCTTCGTAACAAACATCAGCACTGATTGTGACGTGTTTTGTTGTGTTGTGTTCTTGCATGTTTTTGCGTGTTAAGTTTTTCCTACTGAAATTAAAGGCGAATAACTGATGGTGTAGCGTGGAAAATTCCAAAGGACATCAACATTTGCCTGAATATACTTTATTACTTTCACATCATTACTTTTCGTAAAAAGGGAAGGGGGACTGGGACTGGTCGGGACAGGTCCGCTAGAGAGCGATGCGATGGGCGCTGCACACGAGAGCGTTATGGTAGACAAAAAAAGCGAGTGAGGTCCAACTGAAGTTGGCACTTGGGTTATGTGGTCGTCCTGTGCGACGCCTCGTAGCGTGATTGATGATATCTGTCTTGCCTGCGTAGCCAGCTAGTAGCGAGGATGCCACGTTCCAATTCCTTCCAGTAAGCTCGTTCTTGAGATTCGATTGAACGCTGGAGCAGTAATACATGCTGGAAAGGAGAGAAAAGGGAATTTTGTCGTAAATGGATAATATGAGTTCGTACCATAAGAAATCATACTGCCTGATCACACAACAATCTAGACGAGACAGAAGGCAAGCAGTATCAGACAGCCAGAATAAAGCAGCTCACCAGTAGTGCCGTACTGCTACGTATAATGAATAGCATTCTGAAGTAGGGACCGCAGATAAGTCATATCTGACTTCGCAAGTCGTTGTCCTTGCCCTGTATCCTCCAGAGTCGATCCATTACCGAATTAGTTGAATACAGTCTTGTAGTCGACTGAATAAGTAGGAAAGGGTGAGAAGATATGTCTAGTAAAACCCCATAGGCACTGGCACCATCATGGTAGGAATAATTCCGAGAACTTTGAATTCTATCATGGGAAACTTCTTGAAAAAAAGACTTCCACATTAGTTATAAGGTAGCTAAGTCTATAACTGATGGTGTAGCGGGACGAGAATTCCCGCTACACCATCAGATATAGGCTTACCGCACTTATTTTCATTGGAGTCGTTGAAGATATAATACTTATGAATTGCCTACTAACCACCGGTAGGAGAGTGGACGAGGATGGTCGGCTATATACCCGATATGATGAGCGCTGCAGACGAGAGCGTTGTGGTAGACGAAAAGGACGAGTGAGGTCTGGCTAACAGTTAGCAGCTGTCTATATAGGCGTCTTGTGCGATGTCCTGTAGCGCGATTGATAGCAGACGTGCGTACGCGCCGCCAGTAAGTAGTAAGTAGCGAGGTCACGTAGCGAAATCTAGCCTGTTGACCGCGAGAATCGAAAGGATAAAAGTAAAAGGATAAGGTGTTTGGCATAATGTTTAACACCGCTTTGCCGTACAGGTTTGTTATGGCTGGACCGCTCTATTGGTCAACGTTTCTACTGAATCGTCGTCTTCAGGACCTGAAAATAAATCGAAGCTCCTGATTTGTGACTTACCCGAATAAGCGCCCAAACGCGCTAGGGTAGTTGCAACGACTCCCGGTAACTAAAACATGGAAAAGTTCCTAGCGAAAAGACCAGCCTTCTGCGGTTCCACCAGCGTTACGTCCCACTCTATGTGAACAACAAGGAATCAATGAGACACCATTGATGATCGTAAGATGAGAACTATGCGTGTGATCCTGTTGATCTTTTTAATAAAGATTTTGGCGTTAGACAATCCCGTCTGAGGAATGCGCCCCCGCACTCGACTTCAACTCAAAATTGTAGTGGCATAATGAGTGCGTATGTGGCCTATACAATGACTTGCACTGGCCAGCCAATGAACAAGTCAGCGCTTTTATCCTCCCAGACGAGTCTGATACCAATTCACCGACGCTAGGGGAATGGAAGGCTGGGTTGGCTTAGGCGAGCATCGATTCTGGATTCGAACCCGTGACCATGCGTGGGTGAATTGCACCACTTGCCACTACACCACCTCAAGGGTCCATGCCAATGGATGGGGTTTTTGCCCAAAATGTCTAACCAGGGAGGGGTAGTCTACTTATCTTGGAACTTTGAATT